TTACAGATGCTTCAGGTTACAGACGCTTCAGGTTACAGACTCCGCTAACCCAGAAATAGTACCTCGGGTTAAGAACTTTGCTTCAGGATGAGAACAGAAATCGTGCGGTGGCAGCATGGCGGCAGCAGGAGGCCCCATTAGCTAAAGTGGTGCCTCAGGTTAAGAACAGTTTCAGGTTAAGAACAGACCTCCAGAACGAATTAAGTTCTTAACCCGAGGTACCACTGTATAACAATCTGCTTCGCATCTGTATCCTACATGCAAGCCTTAAGTGCATTTAAAATCAACATAGAAAAATGTATGACAGGATGTAATGGATGTCTCCCTGTTCAGAACTGGTTCACAAAACATAGAGTCTGCCTTGCTTGTTCTTTTTGAGATACATATTTCTATGTATTCATACAATATTTCTTGATTTATAAAGCCTAGCCTACAATTTCCAGTTCGACAATGTTGTCATGTTGTCAAGCCATTGATTAAAGGGAATCTTATCTCTGTTCTTCCAATTCATCAGTATTGGTCTCTTGGCTTTGAAATATTAGACAAATTCACAGAGGATAAGATGGCTTCCAGCGACGGTGGCTTACGTTCTACCTCCACCATGGGAGGTGGGATGCCTCTGAACACGTTACTGGGAATCACAAGGAAGGAAGCAGTGCCCCTTCTGTTATGTGCCCTGTGGAGCTGGAAGGAGCAGTCAGACCACGCAAGCACTTTGCCAGCTCATCAACCTCAAGCGTCACAATTCATAAAACAAAAGAGCTCTGAGGTCATTTTGCGTGTTCACTTAAGTAATGTGGACATAGAGATGGAATGCCATCCCTATAAATGCAGTCAGAGGAGTAGCTGCTTCAATTTTTAAAGATGCAGGTTTACCTTAGACTGGTCTGTGCAAGTTAAGAAAGCAGTTCTGGAACAGGAAAACCTAGCATGTTTATCTTAACCTATCCATATCCGTCTGCTTGCAAAATTTTGGACTGCAATGGAAGCAATGATGAGTTTGTCTCAGGGTTTTTGGGAGGATGGCAAACTAAGGGAATGTGGAGTCCCAGCCAGTGGGCAAATCTTGAAGGATGAGGCCACTGTGGTTCGGACACAGCAGACATTTCAACCATAAGTGGTGTGGGGGGAGCAACCAGTTTCTTTTTAAAATAAGATACTATAATGCTGTTAAAGCAATTGTTCACCATTTGTCTAAGAAGCTCAAGGCAGAAAATGTGGGTTTCTCCTCCTTATTCACACAACAACTCTCTGTGGTAGGTTAGTCTTCACAATCCTAGTCCAACACCACACTGATCACCAGTGTTGAAGCAATGATTCTTCAACATCAACTTTGTTGGACTGGTCATGTTGTACTTATGCCTGATGATCGTCTTCCAAAGCAACTACTCTATTCCGAACTTAAAAATGGAAAGCGTGATGCTGGTGGTCAACAAAAGAGTTTTAAAGACTGTCTCAAGGCAAATCTAAAAAAATGTAGTATAAACACCGACAACTGGGAAACACTGGCCTGCGAGCGCTCCAGTTGGAGAACAGCCTTTACCAAAGGTGTCATGGGCTTTGAAGACACTCGAACTCAGAACGCAAGGGAGAAACGTGCTAAGAGGAAGGCACGCTTGGCAAATCCACACTGTGATCAACTCCTGCCTGGGAACCAATGTCCCCACTGTGGAAGGACGTGTGGATCCAGAATTGGCCTCCACAGTCACTTATGGACTCATTATTAAAACCGTGTTTATGGAAGACAATCTTACTCAGCTATGAGTGATCGATCAAAGAAGATAAAGGCTCTCTGAACTTGTGCAGTAAGAGGCTGCTGCTGCTGGCAATCACAGAATCATTCCCATATGCACAGTCTATTTTATAATCAAGTATTAAACACACACACACACACAAATTTATCAGACTTTCTGCTACATATATTTTGGACCTAGTTCAACTTCCAAGTATGTAATGCTGTGGAAACAATTAATAGCAAATACAGAAGTTATTTTAAAAAGCAAATGCCTGCCTGAAGATGTCTGCCAGCCCTTGCTCCTGTCACTGATGGGGAAGAGCTGGCTGTGGCTGTGGAGTGGTGAAAGAACTCTGTGCATGTTCATAGGTGTTCAGGGTTAAATTAAAGCAGGTCTGTAGCCAAAACATTTTGTGGTGAAAGGACCTGAGGTTGCACACAGGTGTGTGTGACAGGGAGAGAGGATGTGTAGAATTCATACAGAGCAGCCAGAACCTAAGCACTAATATGGCTAAAGTTAAATATTAATAAAATACAATGTAATCTTTAAAAATCATTGAGAAATAAGTACCAGGTGTTTGTTCTCCTAGTGTTTTTGCCATAGTCAGAACATTGGAAAGTAGGAACAGGTTTACTTCTTTCATAAGAGACCTTGGAAGAAAGTTGCAGTGTGGATCGCTTCTGAACACTAATGGACTGCCATGCCCCCTTTTATGATACTCCATTCCAGTCCGTCCGTCCCCCTATTTTCTGTAACCCCCACCCCCCAAAGTCAGCATCCCCTGTCCATGGAACATGCTCAGCTCTCACTGAGCTATTTCTGGGGCTGTTTTCACCTTAGTTCTAAAACCTTTGGGGGAGCTGGCTGGCCAGATGATTCGGTGGAAACAATCCTCATGGCTCCCTGCTCCCGAGCCTCGAAGGCCAAAATCCAACCTGTGAATTGGAGCCCCAAGCAGACTGGGAGCCAGTGAAGTTTGCAACCACACTGTTTCTGGGCCCCATTCATGGGCGTAGCCAAGGGGTGGGGTGGGGAGAGGCAGCTGTGTCCCTGTCCCCCCCCTGGCAATCTATAAAAATACATAGCTGAGATTCTGCCCCCCCCCGCAACAAAAATCCTGGCTACGCCCATAGCCCCATTCAAAGTGATACAGTATACTCAGCAGAGTACAAAAGAGATATACTATATACAGAATAAAAAATTTTCACCTACAATTTTACATTGTCGTCTCTTTTTCTGGACTTCCCTCAGCTCGTCCGTAAATCTTCCGTAATAAAAATCATAGTTACGCATTTCCTAGTTTGTATTGTCGTTATACATTTCTTTTCTTCTATTTTTATTAAACAATAACTCTTAGTCTCTTCACAGTGCTTCTCTGAATCCCCTTAACGTTATTTGTCCTTTGCTAATATGTTCCAGGTAATCTACATATTTTCCCCATTCCTTAATGAACTTTTGGTCTCTTAGGTATCTTATCTTTCCCGTCATCCTATCCAAGTCCGCGTAGTCTAATAATTTTACTCTCCACTCCTCTATTGTGGGCATCTCCTGTTTTTTCCACATTTTGGCTAGAGTTATCCTTGCTGCTGTGACTGCGTAATATACAAATTTATGGTCTTTCTTTTTTATTTCATTCCCTAATATCCCTAACAGGAATATTTCAGGTTTTTTTATAAACGTATATTTTAGCACTTTCTTTAACTCCGTGTATACTTTTTCCCAAAATTCTCTCACTTTCCCACATTCCCACCACATGTGGTAAAAGGAGCCCTCCTTCTCTTGACATTTCCAACATTTGCTGTCAACTTTATACATTTTCGATAATTTCACTGGTGTTATGTACCACCTGTGAAACATCTTCATGACATTCTCTTTTACCGTTATACACGCCATAAAATCCAAACCATCCTTCCACAGATTCTCCCAGTCCTCGAATTGTATTTCGTGACCCACATCTTTAGCCCAGCGGTTCATCACTGTTTTGACCTCCTCATCTCCCAGATTCCAATCCAACAACATCTTATATATTTTAGATATTGTTTTCACATCATTGTTTATAATCTCCGTCTGAAATTTTGAGTCTTTATCTGCGTATCCTTTCTCTTTCATCTCTTTTCTGAACATCTCATTAACTTGGAGGTGCTGAAGCCAATCATATACATACTCTTTAATCTGCTCATATGGCTTTAATTTCCATTTCCCACCCTCTTTCATTAACAATTGACCATATGTTGCCCAATCCGTTCTCATATTAATTTTCTTAACGCTCATCATTTCAAGAGGTGAGAGCCAGCGCGGAGTTTTAGGTTCTAATATATTTTTATATCTTTCCCATGTCTCAATAACTGGCCCCCTAAAGATATGATTCTCGAACCCCTTGTGTACTTTCCTCTTATCTCCCCACAGATAGGCGTGCCAGTCAAAGTGATACAGTATACTCATTCTACCTGATTACAAATCTTGCAGCTGTGCTCTGAATTAAAAGGAAATTTCTGGAGCGTCTTTTAGGCAATGTATGTGCAATAAATGTGTTGCAGAAGTCCAGGCAGGAAGGGGCATGGAGAAAAGGCAACTTAGACTAACTGAGAGCCATACTAGCCTTATTTTCCTAAGCCTTTTAATCAGTGGCGTAGCGTGGGTTGTCAGCACCCGGGGCAAGTAATTTGTGCCCCCTAACCCGTGGATTTGCGCCCCCTAACCCCCAGATGTTGTGCCCGGTGCGGCCGGCCCCCCCTGCACCCCCCACGCTACACCACTGCTTTTAATGCCTTGGCTCCAGATTAATTTTATTTGGGCTATGGTTATAGTTTGTATTTTATTGCTTTTCAGTTACAAATGAATCAGTTACTTTGAAAAGGAGAAAATAGATTATTATGATTGATGGGCTATATAGTTTTTATGCTGCATATATATATGCTGCATAAGATGTAACATACATATGTGGTACAGGCTTAATCATTATATATATATATATATCTCGTTATATATATAACGATTAAGCCTGTACCACATTTCCCTGCACCTGCTGCCCTAATCCTGCTGAATAGGTTCACAGCAAGCATGCAGTGCCATTGCGCAACAGCAGTTGGATCGGGGCATAAACTTTCCTGGATTGCAGGCGGCTGGAGGGCGTTGGACACGTAAACAGGACGACCACGTCGCCACGCGCACTCCCCCCCCCTGACTACAACTCCCGGCACGCCTTGCTGCCTTTCGTACCGCCCGCTGCTCGCTGAATGGAGGCTGTGCCTGATTGGCAGGATCGGTGCGCAATGAGGGTCGGTTCAAGTCTCCAGCGCCAGGCTGGAAGGGGCGCGCCGTCCAGCAAGAGGGAAGCGGCCCATTGCGCCTTTCGCTCGCGGCAGGATGGCGGTGCCCGGCTGGGAGCGCGCGGCTCGGCTCCTGCTCTGCGCGGCGGGGCTGGCGCTGTCTGCTTACGCTTTCCACGTGGAGACCTCGAAGGAGCGGGACGCCGCCTACCGGGCCATGTGCGACATCAGCGCAGCCGTCAGCTGCTCCCGCGTTTTCACTTCCAGGTGAATGAATGCCCCGCACACACCCGGTTGCTCCACCGCCAGGAGCCCCAGACCTTGTGGGATGATCTCTTGCGATTTGCACCCTGGTGGCATCCGCCGCCCCCGCGGCGCACAGCCGGATCCCACGCATGCTTGTTTCCAAAAAGAGATCCCGCTGGGATTTACTTCCGAGTAAGCGTGCGTGGGATTGCAGCCTGACCCTGTGCAATTGGCACGCTTACTCGGGACGAAAGGCAAAGGGTTGAAATCTCTCCCTACCACCCAGTGGAATTCAAGGTGTGGACTATCCCTGCCCGTGTTGGGTTAAATTCCACTTCTTTTAGGAAAGTATTATTTGTCCTGGAGTTTTCTCAGTTCCGCTGAAAAGCTGCAATCGATCTTCTGAATCCTTTCCCGCTTGCAGCACAATTGAGAAAGGCGTCTCTTAACGGGTGGCCGGAGAGGAGGGGGGAAATCGTTAGCAGAAGTCACGGGGATGCTCGCCTAATCTTCTGTAAACAGCCAGGAAGGACGTCCCCAGGGTAACTGACCCTTTATTATTTGACTGGAGAATGTGAATGAGGGGGATGACGTGTCCCTTATGTATGCTGGAGGTGACGCAGAATGGGCCTCCTGTGGTCTAGAAAAGATGTAACATTGGTAAGATGCTTCTTTATATTGGCCCAATTTGCCTTAGGCAGCCAATCAGACACTGTCATTGCATGATCTTAGACAATCCACAGTGTTCTATAAAGACTTAAGAATCATAATTACTGTTTATTGCTAACATTCTGCACCATCTCCTCCCATTACAGGTGGGGTCGTGGTTTTGGCTTGGTGGCCACATTTCTGGGACCTCGTAGCGTGTTCAACCAGCCTAATAGCGTCTTTGGGATTGCTTTCTACACCCTGCAAATCCTTCTGGGTGAGTGACACATGCAGATGGATGCGTCAAAGAGAACACAGGTGTCCACACATGGATGCGGGTGTCGCTAACACAGCATCCAATCCAAACACTGGGCAGAGGAGAATCTAGCTGCCCATGTTTTCAACTCTGTATGTTACCAGGTGTGTTGTCCTCCCCTGACGACTACATCAGGTATTAGCAACATTTAGTAATTCGGGGCAGACCAGAGCTGTTGCACACTCCTGCTCTGCACTACCTCCAATGTACTACCTCTGGATACAAGGTCAAGGGAATCAGGGAAAGTGCTGTCGCAATCAAGTTCTGCTTGTGGTCTTCCACAGCTGGCCAGTGAGAGAACAGAATGCTGGACTAAAATGAAGGGTGCTCAAAGAAGTGGAGCCAAAATAGGGCCACTGAGAAATGAGAGGAATGTGTAGAGGGGAACTTTGGGGGTTTGCAAGTGTACAAAAATAATAATAATCTAAAGAATGCAAACTCTAGGGGCAGCCCCAAACAGAGAGGACCAAGCATGCTGAGTAGCTACAGAATGTAGAGGGGCAGCTAAAGAGGTGCGGGGGGGGGGGGCGGACAGACACTGAATGGGATGGGTGGAGAAAATGGAATGCCCTGCTTGGAGGGAGGGGCTAACCAGAACCCCGAACAAGAACATTAGGAGGGAGGATATACTGCCACGTTTTGTTGACATTCTCATGTGTATGGTCAAAAACCTTTGTTTCCTTCAGATGATTCACAGGTGGGGATTGGAAATCCAAAGTTGGGCTGGTCAGCCGAAAGGCTGGAGGCCGGTTTTAGCTTTCAATCCCATCTTGCCAGCATGATTTCCCCTTCTGCAGCTGAACACAAAAGTAACCCAGACCTCTTCATCCACACAGGCTTCTCCAACAGCGGCCTGGCGGCCATTGCTCTGCTGGGCTCTTCGGTCGTCTCCATAGTTGGCTCGCTGTACCTGGCCTACATCCTGTTCTTTGTGCTCCATGACTTCTGCGTGGTCTGCATCAGCACCTACCTCCTCAACTTTGCCCTCCTCTTGCTCAACTACAAGCGCCTCGGCTACCTCAACCAGGCCTGGAAGCGCCCCGTGGCCAAAGCCAAGAGGCAGTGAATGAAGGCGGCACCTCAGGCTGGGAAGTCCTGCGAGGGTGGAGGTTTCCCAGGGGTCTCACCTACCTCTGGTGTTTCCTTAAGCGCTGGGTTGGATCTGGGCCGAATTCATTGCGCTTAGGTCCCATTGAAATTCAAGGCAAAAAGTTTATCATTAGTCTTATCTCCAGTGGGAACTAAATGCAGGTAGCCTGCAACCCATTAATCTGTTTCTATATCACCTGAATGCTCTTCCAGCTTGGAAAACGTCTTCCCAGAAATCGATGAGATCAGCATTCCACTTGTCTGACCCTTCGGACTCCATTCAGATTAGCTTATGAACCTCCATTTTGGAACTTAAATGGATGCAGTTTTTGGTTGGGCTGACCTACAAATACGTAAATCAAACCCTTTGTTCCTTTCCTTATTTCTTTTTAATACAAAACTTATTTTTATAGCTCTTTTTAGAAAAAAATTGTATACAGAGCAATTTGTAAAATACAGCTATTTGTGATCACGTTGAAAAGCGTTGAATTGAGAGCTGTTACATCTCTTCTCAGTTGTAATAGAGTGCTTTTTTTCTGGGGATACTCAAGGTATGCAGTACGGGCACTTCTCTCCCCCCATATTTAAAAAGTGTGGCACTTACTGCAACAACTTCATGTTGAGTACCAGCACCATTTTTCCTTTTTGAAAAAGAGCACTGAAAGATACAAAATTGGGCAGAACCAGCTTGTGACTGGGCTTGGCTTAGTTACTGAAGCACAAACGAAAGCTCATCCTTTCTCACCATCATTAATAACAGCTACCTTTTACATAACAGGAGGGCCCTTCTGTTAGGAAGGCTGAGGCAGGCCACAGATTGTGAGGTACCATTAAAAAGGTAGCAAACTGTAAATTATTTTCATTAGGCTTGAAACCGCAAGGCCAAGGATGGCCGCTCGAGTTGTTTTTTGACTCTAGTCCCGTTCCCCACCCCCCGGGCATGCTGGCTGGGGCTGATTGGATTTCAAGCCCAGCAACATCTGATGAGCACCACTACATGTTTACCATTATATTTGTACCACTACAGTGCGGTGGGAAATTTGGGTTTGCAGCCTTAGATACCAAAAAAAAAACTGGGTCTGGCAAAAGATGGGCAAGCAGCCACTTTTCAATTTGTTTTCTACAGGCTTCCAGCACAGCTGTCAATACCCATTTTCAAAGAAAGTGAAGCAGAGTAGACCTTAAAACATCTTTGTGCATTAGAATTATCTGTGTAGTGGGGGCGACAGAACCATGCAGCTGACTTAAGCACCCTGGGTCCCTCCAGAAGCCTGAGTCTGCAACTCTCTTCAGTCTCAGCCAGCAGCTGGTCGGGGCTGATGGAAGTTGTGGTCCAGAACATCTGGCAAACACCAGGTTGGCGATGGCTGGCATAGACTATAAAGTCGAAAGTGAATGACTTACCGGTAATTTTTTCCCAATTTGAAATGGTGGTTATATTTCTCTGTACGTACTCCCAGCCAACTGCAGGGGTCACTGTGTAGCCACCGTTAACAGCCTGAAAATAAGCAAGAAATAGTTTTTTTGTATGAAGCACAACAGAGCCATCCAAGAAAGAAAACAGCTTGCCACCTAATGCAAGAAATCATGGTCGATAATGAGAGTCTTGATTGATTCAATCCACATAAAGTTACATATGAACAAAAACAAACACGACTTTTTCTTCTGAATGTACTTTGCTTTTGAGTGTTGTTGCGTCAGGTAGCATCTTACAAGAGGTAGTGAGTCCTGTGCAAAACAGAAAAGGGAATTGTTGTTTTTTTCCTAAGGTGCAGCCTTAACTTTTTAAATAAGTGCTTGTATTAATAGGGTCCACCACACTGCTTTGTTTCCCAGATAATCAAGAGCACTGTAAAAACAACCATAAGTCCAAGGATATTTGATTAAACTGACTGATCAATTTAAAATAGCAATCCTGGCAGAAAGAAAAACCTCTGTAACAATAAAAAAAAATCTCTGGAGAAAGCAGCCTCTTGAATTCCTAGCTTTTTTTTTTTTTGTGGGGCGGGGCAAGAGTGGTGGTACCTCATTTTTAATTTCAGGCTCTTGAAAAAGTTCATAAAGACTTTAATAGTGTGTTTGCAGGGGTAGACAGGATCACACAAATTCACTCATTAGATTATTAATTTTTAATATGACATTGATACCCTGCCTTTCCATATTAGTTTTTATGAGAAGTTATAGACCGCTTGAGCGGGACGCGGGTGGCGCTGTGGGTAAAAGCCTCAGCACCTAGGGCTTGCCGATCGAAAGGTCGGTGGTTCGAATCCCCGCAGCGGGGTGCGCTCCCGTTGCTCGGTCCCAGCGCCTGCCAACCTAGCAGTTCGAAAGCACTCCCGGGTGCAAGTAGATAAATAGGGACCGCTTTCTAGCGGGAAGGTAAACAGCGTTTCCGTGTGCGGCTCTGGCTTGCCAGAGCAGCAATGTCATGCTGGCCACGTGACCCGGAAGTGTCTCCGGACAGCGCTGGCCCCCGGCCTCTAGAGTGAGATGGGCGCACAACCCTAGAGTCTGGCAAGACTGGCCCGTACGGGCAGGGGTACCTTTACCTTTTATAGACCGCTTGCTCATTAAAAATATCCAAGTGGCGAACAAAATGCACAGATGTATAACAACCCTCAGTAAAACAATATCATGCAACATACAAGATTCCTTCATTATGTCATCCACAGGCAAAACTGATAACAGTTTAGTTGACAGAAGCATTAAGTAGAAAAGTATTTGGTAGGCTTCTGAAAGAGAAAATGGAAGGTGCCTGATTGTCAGTAGAACATAATCCCACAAAGCTGCTGTGACCACAATGAAGGTTCTGTCACTGCAGAAATTGCCCTCTTTGTCCTTGTCTATAACCAGGATGACATTTCAACTAAATTCTTCTTGAGTGTTTTTTTGCAACTCTTAGGCATGTCCTGAATTCACTTCATGTATGTACAGTGTGCACTTTGAACAGGGCAGCCTAGATTTGCCCCATAGCTTGGCATGGAGCTTGAACAGCGCATTGGGAACCCACTGTCATTGGGCTCTGGACACATCTCTCCCAGCCTAATCCAATGGAAACTCTTGCAGCATCAAATCAGAAGATGAGCAAATTGCTGCTTTCTTGTAGAACTGGCTCATCTCTTCCACAAAGTGTTCAGCCCCTAAGGAACGGTCTGGGATCAGCTCACTGGACTCTGTCTATGCATGGCTTCGCCAATAACAGGACATTCTGCCTTACATGCAGCCTGTGGTTTAGAAATGTTCCCCCTCCTCACAGGATCAAAACAATGTTTCAGCTGCAGCAGAAGCAACGCTTATAAGCTGGCAGCAAACATCCTGTTGTGCCACTGAATTTAACCACCTCTGACAAGAGTGTGCTTATGCTGCTCCTGTTCTAGCTGCAGAAGTTTGTTTCTCAACAGAGACGCATAGTCTTCAGAAGCATCTCTTTAAAGTCCTTCATTCTGAACAGTCCCTTCTTGATCTTCCCAATGTTCTTCCAGGGGCACTTCTGGTGTTTTAGAAATCTTCTCTTGCAACCTGTTGGACTTTTGTAGTGATTGCCATGTCAAGATTGCTCACAACGTAACACTCATCCAGTTATGGTTTCAAATTGGGAGACTGTGTTGAAATTCCTGCATCGCAGGGCGTTGGACTAGATGACTCTCAGGGTCCCTTCCAACCCTACAATTCTATGATCCTCATATGCTTGCATCCCAAAGGATTGTGACTTCACAGCTGTGCCTACCATTCCTCTGATGGGACTTTCACAATGTCGACATTATTTCAGCCCCACTCTGGCAGTGTAACTTGTTCATAGTCAACACCTGAGCTAGCTTATTGAGTAATTCCAGTGCTTTCTCTGATTCCCCAGCTTTGTCACTGAAGATAATATATTACAAGAGTCAACAGTGTTTCAAATATTACCAACAATTCAAGCTGTGCCTCACTTTAGCCTTGTTCTGTCTAAAATTCTAGGCACACTTGTGAGTATGTCCCATTGAACTCAATGGGAAAGGGATGTAGCTCAGTGGGAGAACATCAGTTTTGCATGCTGAAGGTCGTAGCTTTGATCCCTGGCATCTCCAGGTAGGGCTTTGAAAGATTCCTTGCCTGAAACCTTGGGGAGCCACTGCCAGCCTGCGTAAGCTAGATGGACCAAAGGGCTGACTATCTGATATAAGGCAGCTTCCTATGTTCCAGTGTGACTCCTAAGTGCTTAGGGTTGAATTTGTCTCCCAAACATGAAGGGAACTATAATTATTCTTTTAACCATCATCCCCATTCCTGCCATGTAGCCTTCTCTCACTTCACTGCTCATGAAATGTTTATGCTACAGTTAAGAGCTCGATCCTATATACTGGTACATGTGGAAATTAGTTTCCACCTCTGTATCCTGGCAACCTGGCCATCCTTCGCTGAGATAGGCAAGCCAAAACGCATTTATTTATTTCTAACATTTATAGCCCAAACTCCAGTGGCAATTGGCATAGGAATTCTGCATAGGCCAGGCTTAACTGTGTGTTGTTGTTTTTAAAAGGGGAAGGCATCTCATTTGTGAAATAAGTTCCTTGTTGCGGCACAATGCGTGTCAGCTAAAATTTAAATTATTTGACACGTCTTCTCTTGTACAAATACTCTGGTTTGAATTTGATTCTTGTCAGAGGCTTCAGATGTGCACTTCGTAGTGGGGGACCAGTTTTCCGATGCACACATCTGATACATAAGCACATTCAAACCCTTGCACTATTATTTATTACTGATATTCCACCTTTCCTCCAAGAAGCTGGAATATACATGGCTCCCTCCCTGAGAGGCAGGTTAGGCCGAGAGACAGACGAGCCCAAGGTAACCCAGTGAGCATCATGACTGAATGAGGATTTAAACCCTGGTCTCCCAGGCTCTCGTCCAACGTTTCTAACCACTACACCATGCTGCTGTGACTGCATTATGAAGCTCACACCATAATAACATTGGTTGGTTTGTAAGGTGCTCCTCTTTAAACACAGCAGTTAACCTGTGTCCAAAAAATGTGCTGAAAACGTCCGCCTTATGCCTTCCCGTCTTTTAGCAGGAATTGTTTTCAGCTTGCCTTGTTCCCTGTTTTGCCTCATTGACGGACTGCATTTCCCATGAGGCGCTAACTTAAGCAAAAAAATTTCCCCACCATAATTCCGCCTTATCGCGCAGGGGTTTCTGGGTATCGTAGTTTCGTCAGCGAACTGTAGGCATCCAGGGAGCGCGTTGACGAGACTACATTTCCCATGCTGCACTGCTCCCTTCCTCCGTCAGAGACTGCCTTGTCGTCAGTACCCTTCCCCGCACCCAGCCACCCACCCCTAACGAGAAAGAGACAGCTGGTTCAGTCCGGTCCCCAAGTGCGGGAGCTGCTGCGGTGTTTGGAATTGGCGGTAAGGGATCCTCTGTGGAAAGTACCATTGTGAACGCTGCCGGGGGGGGCGGAGGCTCGTGCGTTACAGTCTGTACCTCGAGGGTGGAGAACAGGATGCAAAACTGCTGGGTTTCTAGCAAGGAAGAAGCGGGTTAGGAGGGAGACGACTGGGAGGGAGCCGCGATTGTCATTGGGTTCCCTTCTCAGCATAGGGAGGAGCCTTGGTGGGCTGGTAAATGGAGGTGGCGTTGGGGAGCCCGGATTCCTTGGATCTCCGGAAGGGAAGACAGCAGGAGGTTTTAGAGGAGACAGGTGGGGTTGGGGATCCCGGGTCCTCTTCAGTGCTTCTTTGAGTTTGGGGCGGGCCAGATTAGAGCAGGGGATGATGAGTGTTTAAACTCCTATAATCTATGGGGAGGACTTCTGGGTAGATCTTTGGGTTAACGACTCCTGGTCCCCCAGTGTGTCTGATCCCTGGAGTGGGTGGGAAATTTATGGGGCCAAAGTGCCAGGATTATTTTTCCTGTGATCCATTCACCTCTGGTGCCCTCTGTTATTTATTTTTTTGCACCCCTGTTTCTCCCGTTCCCTGGTTTTCTTAGTCCCCACCCCCATCCCATGCTGCTGCAGCAGCCACCACTGTTACTGCGAGCATTCAGATTGTAAGCTCATTGGGGCACTTTGTTGCTGCTGCTGATTGGCTTGCTCCATAAAGCACCATTCTCGTTGGTGGTGCTATAAACAGTTCCCCTAATGACAGGGATCTGGGTTGGATTGGAGCCTAGAGAATTGAAGTCATTGACTCCCAGCCCTGAGTCCAGTAGGTTAAAGCAAGGGGACTCCAGGGAGAAAAGTCTGCAGCTGCTGGCATGGGCTGGCTCTGTTCCTTCGTTCTTTGCCATTGAAACCAAGACCTAGGGCATTGCGATAGGCTGATGCTGGCATCCAAGACGTTCTGTGTTGCTCCTTTCCCCTTAGCCTGCTGCGACCTGGGAATGTAAACACTGGACTTGGCAAGGGAGGGATGATTGTTCTAAAACTCTTGGCACGAGGCAGCAGTTCCTACAAATGAATGCTCAAAAAAGGCATAAAAATGAGGTGCGGTGGAAAGTCAATATTCAGGAAGGATCTACCCCCTGCGTCACTTTTCTTCACAAAGGCAGAGAACTTCTCTCTCTTTTTAGCTTATGTTCTATAATGTACCATGTTCCAATGGTATAAAATATTATGCTGAGAGGTGAAAGATAAATCTAGATAATATATAAAGAGCTTAGAGCATC